AGATGGCACAATTGAAACAGCTTGCATTACTTCTTTAAAGGATACTTCCTTTTTTTAGTCTCATGTTCCTTGTCCTCAGTTAAAAAAATGTTTCAGAGACTTTGAAGGGCACCAAATATTTCCAAGGATATTTCTCCTCTGCTGTGTATTTCCCTAGCACTTAATGTTAATTAGCCTCAAATGTGGAAAAGGTGATTCTGATGACCTACACAAGGCAGTTCCTATAAAGAATAATTTGAGAGAAATGTTCTTCTTTGATTCATTGAACTCAGTAGGAGTTGTGTGTGTGTGTGCCTCAGGATAGATATTAACCTTTGACTAGAAGGCTAGCATCACATAGTTCATGTATAAACAGCTCAGTTACTACAGGAACTGCACTCTGATATCATTATCCTTAAACTTGGGGAAGATTCACGTGCACATTCTGCAGAGTCCCACATTACATTCAGTTTCTTGTACTAATTAAAATCCTAAGACAAAACCTTCAGAAAATTGGTATTGCCAGGATTTGTGAACTCACAGGTCTCGTGAAGAATCATAATTACTATGGTAACTGGTTTCGCTGTTTAAAAACCTATCCACACAGATCCCTCTACTGGGAGAATAACAAGCAGCAGTAATTTTTCAGAAGACTGAGAGTTCACCGAAAAATGACAACAAAATGTAACCTGGAAACCATATTTCATATGCAGAGATCAAGTCGAGCAAGAAAATGTGTATTAAAAGTAAATAGGGTTACAAATACCATATGTCATTGACAAGGACTGCAAAAAGACATGCTTTAGACAGCTTTTGATGTAACTGATTATGTTCCCATAATTTGCATTGGCTGAACACCTAAGTAGAACTGACCACTGGCTGCATATCAAATGAAAGCCAAAAGAAATTTGCAGGTAAGTTTCATTTTTATAGATGACAAATTAAGGTCCCCTTGACATCTGAGTTATGGAGTCTGACATACCAAAATGTCAAAGAATCCTGTGAAAAATACAGTGCAGGATGCCAGCTGGAAATCAAAGACCTCAGAAAAGAGGAATTTCAGACAAAGAAGCAGGACCAATTAATGCTTTTGAAACAGTGAAGGGGTAACATCAGGCTTCTGTTTAATAAAGTACTCGGTGTTATGTTACAGTTGTGAAGAAAATTGTCTTCAAAGAAAGTTCATTGACATCAGTGAAAGCCTCAACAGAAAAATGTGAATGAGCACCATGAGTACTGTACTTTGACTTGTCCAACTAAATAATCAACATGCATCCATCAGTAGTTTGGTCTAGTCAAAGTCTTGCTCTTTCAATGCATTTGTAAGGAAGTTAGAGAGGCAATATAATGCTTTCAGCACTGAAACCCAAAACTTAACTGCCGTCCTTGGAAACTCTAAGAGTCTCTTAGGAATTGTTAAGAAAGTGTTTCACTAGATTAAGATCCAATGATCTTGGTAACAGTGGAAAAGGGGATTACGAGTCAGCAATGTAATTGGCTTCCCCTTAGTTAATTTTCTATCTGTCTTGTGTCCTAGTTCACTTGTAAGTTATTTTCTAATATAATTCTAGAGCAGGATAGGTCAACAAGACATCATTAAATCAATTTTCTGTTCTGCATTGGAAGGAATTAAAAAAAATAAAAAATATGCTAGATCAATAAGCTGTCTAAAAAAAGTAATAGAAAATTGGCAGGTATAAAAGTATCAGGAAGTCAGGCAAGAACTGAATGATAACTTGAAAGCTGAAAAGTACAATAAAAAAGGGGTAAGTGATCCAACAAACAACTCCAAGTTGTGATTTTGAAGTAGCATATAGAAACTATTTTTTGCATGAATGGTATTAATGTATAGTTATGATCCTAAAAAAAAGAGGGCTTTCTTAGATTTGAGGGACCTTTGTATTTGAGCCAAGCTAGTAATGTCATGTACTTCTTTCTTGGTAAGATACTTTTCATTAACTTGCCATCACAATTAATTGCATTTTAGTAAATAGCATAAAAGGTAAAATTCTATCCAAAGTATATTTAAAAAGTAAAAAGGAACATGCCTTAGCTAAAGGCCTGCTTTGCCTAAAGCAGTGTATTCACTACCAATATATCCATGTATTGTCAGATTCACTATAAACTTAGTGGTGTTCAGATTTTTTTAGGTGAAGATAAAATAACTGTAGCTGAGCTAACAGCTCATTTTGCTCCTAAAGCAGGAAGATAGGAATTTTACCTGAAATAAATTACATTTCTTGGACAATAACTTTTGTTGAGCATCTAAATAATCGAGATAATTTTGGCAGATTGTCCCCTTCTTATCCCATTCTCTTGATTTTGCCTTAAATTCCTGAAAGACAGCAAAACAAGGCTAGTAAATACAGGGCAAAAAGCTTGATCTAAACAAGTTCGCAATTTGTATAGTTCTAAGAAAAATCCAGTTGTTTAATTAACTCATAATTTTTCCATAATTTTGGAAAGGAATAAAAAAAGAATAATGATATAAACCAGCCATCCAGTCATCCCCACCAGAAAAAATACAGTCTTAAGGACTGTTAATTTGAAAAAGAAAGGATGTTAATAATTGTATAAAAATGATAAAATATTTTAAATTACTTCCAGTGCTGTAGATCTTGGAGTTATGAATATAATGCACCCATTTTAGTGGAGGGTAGATCCTGTGACTTTAAAGCTATATCAGTGTCAAGTAGAGTAATCAGCAGGGAATCAAACCTTTGATGTTCAGGGTTATTTTACCAAATTGGACAGCAGCTACTGTGAATAAGTTTTATTTCTTGCTCTCTTTACAACTGCTGCTTCTGGTTCCAAGTTCACTTAGCTTAAACAAAAACTTGATTAAGAAATTCTATCATATCAGATTTATTTAATACTGGGTTTGTATTTGCATTTATATGCTAATCTATAGTGTGTTTGAATTTGCTTTTAAATTGCGCCAGACCTTATATGTTCACAAATAGACTTTATAGGCAGTGTCCTACAAAATACATAGAACTCCAGTTACTAGAGCTGTTGCTTTTTTAGTTTGAAGAATTACCAAATTAACAGTATACTGTTTTATACAGTGAAGACTGTAATACTTACTATTTGTTATAAGAACTTCCTTCTTCAGAATGGAAATGTTGGTTCCAAAATCATAGATGATTTCTTGCAACTGTCCTATATTGGTGTATTTCCCAAATTAAAAAAGATTTTTTTTGCTAATGAAACAAAATCAATTGCTTTCCAACATATAGGGGATACCACCTGGAGTACTCAGTTCGACTCTGAAGACCCAACACCGGATGTGGACCTGCTCGAGTGAGTCCAGAGGGGGCCACAAAGATGCTCAGAGGCCTGGAGCACCTCTGCTATGGAAACAGGCTGAGAGCTCTAGGGTTATTCAGCCTGGAGAAGCGAAGGCTCAGGGGAGACCTTAGAGCAGCTTCCAGTGACTAAAGGAGACCTATATGAAATGTGGAGAGGGATTTTTTACAAGGGCATGTAGGGATAAGACAAGGGGGAATGGCTTTTAAGCTGACAGAGGGAAAATTTAGATTAGATTGTAGGAAGAAATTCTTCACTATGAGGGTGCTGAGGCGCTGGCACAGGGTGCCCAGAGGAGCTGTGGCTGCCCCATCCCTGGCAGTGTTCAAGGCCAGGTTGGACACAGGGGCTTGGAGCAACCTGCTTTAGTGGAAGGTGTCCCCTGCCCATGGCAGGGGGGTTGGAACTAGATGATTTTAAACTCCCCTCCAACTCAAACCAATGTATGATTCTATAATATATTAATACAAATCCCCTCTTACAGCTTTCCTCATATCTGCTTTGGCATTTTAAGCCAATAAACATCTTCCCTTTTTACAAGGTGTGACACAAATGGAGTTTCAGCCTACTTGATGAGGACTGCCGGTTCAAGGCCTTACTAAAGCACTGCTGAGTTTAGTAGATTTTCAATATGGTAATTATTTTCTGAATAGTAGAATTTGCTGAATATATTCCAAGCACACATTTTTCATACTGCATAATTAATCAAATTACAGCACTGTGTTACATTATTTTCACATCTTAATCTTGACGAAGGTTATTCTCAAATTAGCTGGATCAGACAGCTTCACACTAGTGATACATTTAGTCAATGATAGATGTATAATCCATATATTATTCTTACAGTAGCAGATGTTGGCAGCTGTGCTGCAGTCCAAAGTGCAGTAGCTCTTCTGATGGTAAGGACTCTTCCATGTGGAAGAGACAGCAACATTATGTAAAGCTAGAATGTGTCTAGGATGCGTCCTGTTATATAGGCAGTCACATGAAGATTGCAGAGGTTAGTCCTGTATCTTATGGAATAACATAGAAGATAGGCAAGCCCAAAATCAAGATCCTAAAGCCCTGTTTAATTGCAGTTTAAGTATGGAAATACTTAAAATCTACTAGACCTTTTTTGTTTTAAAAGTTCTCAAAGTGTCCAAATCATCTACAACATAAATCTGTCTACATCTACATAAATCTAGTTAAGTCTGTAAGTCTTTACAATGCTTAGCAGCTAGGCAACTACCTCACACTTCCAACTGGTATTCTTCTGCTTACTCTCCCTATAGGACCCAGTTCAGTAAATGCTCAAAGCACACACTGCTTTATTATGATCTTTACAAAGGGTGGGCAGAGAAAATGTAATTTTTTTGTGATCCTCTTATGCTTCATCAGACGAGTTGTTAGACCATTCTTCCCATATGTGGAAGACTCAGTTTAGTAATCGTCTTTTCAGGTAGAATCTGAACCAGAATCTTTCCATGTTAATTTTCTTCCTAACAAACAAACGTTATTTTTCAATAGGTTCTGACTTTTGCAGTCATTTCTCTTTGCACAGGATACCAGCAAAGTTATTGGGTAAGTAAAAAAGAAGCAGCAAAAATTAGCACAGCTAGGGATTGTATACTCAGTTATAAGCAAAGAGACTGGATATCAGCAGTGAATATAGCCAGAAGAGTATTTGGGGAGAAGCTACCACTTGGAGGCACACTCTTGATGTTCTCTGTGCTGGCCAACTCTTCTAATTGGCCCAATAAGTATTTGATTATGCCACAGATCATAAAGTAACTCCTAACTGAGAAGTCAAGGCCAGGAATTATGATCAGAAATCGATACCTTCCTATATCCAAGAAGAAGTCAGATAAATTCCATTCTGTGTCCAGAGGGATAGGTAATATGACCAAATCCTGTCTGCTACATCTCATATTACCCTAGTCCCCCAGTCAGTCTGCTGGATTCTGTGGAATGTATTTTTAAGTGCCTAATCCTTCCTCATGTGTTACCTCGGGAAACTAGGCACTGATGTCAAGGTTTTGGGTTGCTTCAGGCACATAGGTGTTGACAAGATATGGAATCATAGAACCATAGACTAGTTTGGATTGGAAGGGACATTCAAAGGTCATCTAGTCCAACCCCCCTGCAATGAGGAGGGACATCTTCAACCAGATCAGGTTGCCCAGAACCACATCCAGCCTGGCCTTGAATATCTCCACGGATGGCACATCTACCACCAATCTGGGCAACCTGTGCCAGTGTTTTACCAAACTCACTGGAAGAATTTTTCCTCACATCCAGCCTGAATCTCTCCTCTTAGTTTAAAACCATCACCCTTCATCTTATTGCAACAACTCTCTCAGCCTTTCCTCATAGGAGAGATGCTCCATCACTCTGATGATTTTTGTGGCCCTCCACTCAACCATCTCCCAACAGGTCCATGTCTTTCCTGTGCTGAGGACTCCAGAGCTGGATGTAGCACTCCAGGTGGGGTCTCACCAGAGCAGAGTAATGGGCCAGGATCACCTCCCTCTACCTGCTGCTCACACTCCTTTGGATGCAGCCCAGGATACAGTTGGTCTTCTGGGCTGCAAGAACTCATTGCTGGCTCATATCCAATCTTTCATCCACCAGTATGCTCAAGTCTTTCTCCTCTGGGGTACTCTCAATCCCTTCGTCCCCCAGCCTGTACTGAGATGTGTATAACAAACAGTTTTCCAATACTAAATCCTGTTTCTATCTAGCCCTATATGGTTGAGGTTGTCCTGAGATCTACCAAACTTGAATTAATAGTGATTAATTAAGTGAATGTATCCTGCATATGTAAAAGGTCTCATGCCTCAAGAGATTATATTATCCAGTACAGGGTAATATAACCCAGGATAATATATCCAGTAATCAGGAAAAAATAAAACTCATTTATAGTTACACTTATGAAGAAAATTATCTATATTAACTCATAATATTACTAAAAAACCTAATTAAAAAAAAAAAACTTGGATAAAAGAACAAAACCTGAATATTAATTATGTACCTTTTCTTGCCAGAGCAAGAAAATGATATAATTTTTGTACAATTATCAGGAAATGAAAGCTTACAACTGTAAGCCATAAATTAGTTCTAGAGGCACATTTAAATTAGAATATAACAGCAAAGTATTCTTACCTCCAGTTTCTTGTACAAATTGCTCAGTTCAGATGGTGTCTCTATCCTTTCCTCACATTTTTCTCTAGTTCCAATCTTTTTTTGTTTTAACTGATGTAGCCGTAGCTTTTCATAACTGTGTGTCAACTTTGAAAGCTAAAAACAAAAGCAGAGTTGAACATGCAGAATCTATTCAAAATGAGCACGTGGCCAAAGTTTTCCTTAAACTATAATCCCTGACCGCAGCTTCAGGATTCCAAATATTTAATCAGTGTAACAAAGAGTCAATCAATAAAGTTAATTTATTAGAGATGAACAACACTAAGCTCTCATATGAATGTTAACTAACTGTTCACATGGGTTCATCTGACAGCTGCTTAATTCTGCTGAAGTCCTTTGTGGCACTGTTAGCCATAGTGTCATTTCCTCCACGATGTCTATATGGAATGTTCCATACTTGTTTACTGCCATCTTGTGTTGACATTTTTAAAGGGTGCTTCACCACCCAGAATGAAGGATTAGCATTAATGCATTTTAAACTTGAATGTTTCTTTTTTTATCATGGACATGGTTGAAATGTTATACATGTGATGATTGCATTCTTCTGGAATCATTACGTACCAAAGAGTGTCTATGGGAATTAGACACTAAATTCTGTACTGCCTATGGATCTTGCCATGAAAGCATGGCTTGGGAGTCAGAGACAGAGAAAGGAGTGGACCAGTAGAAATACCAGTGTCTCCAGAAGGTACCAGCTTCTTCATTAAAACAGCAGGTCTGATCAACAGTGAGCTATATGACACAAGCAAAGGGCCTGTGGCCATTAGCAGGTTTGATACAGCAAACTGACATTTACTGGCAGAGATCTGCACAGGTGGGTTTGAAAGAAAAAACAAGAAAATCAAGGCTATTGACAAAGGACACGTTAAAAGTATAGTCTTGAGGGATGCCGAGTGAAAGAACTTTAAGAATGTTGAGAAGAAGCTTACAACTATGAATGCTGATCATATCTCATGTTGTTCTGTTCCTTTAAATTAATAAATATATGACTTAAAAACTTATTTAATTAGATAAATATATGACTTAAAAATTCAGACTCTAACATAAAGTTCTTTGACTAAGCAAACAAAATCTATATAATTTCATGTTTTTGTTAACTGCTCCAGTGGACTGTCTGGCAAAGAAATTACTTCCAAGGAAGTAGTTGGAAATGGAACAAACTCCCATTAAATAGACCAGGAATGAGCAATTGAGATCTGTGCAGATAACAAAGATGGCCAAGCAGTCCAGAAAAGATACAGAGAAGAAACTGGAGTTTAAAAATCATCTGGAAACTTCCTAGAGACATTTGAGATGATTTTGGGAACTTCTTACACTATAGAACAGCAAAAAAGAATTGAAAAGATGACCAGAAGATAGATTGTCCTAGACCACAAAGTTTCATGAAGTGGGGAGGCTGGGACAGAGTTAATTTTCTTCCTCGTAGCTGGTGCAGTGCTGTGTTTTGGATTTAGTCTGAGAATAATGCTGGTAACACACCAATGTTTTAGTTGTTGCTAGGCAGTGCTTAAATCTAAAACAAGGACTTTGCAGTCTCTCATGCTCTGCCAGGGAGGAGGGGCACAAGAAGCCAGGAGGGAGCAGAGACAGGACACCTGACCCAAACTGGCCAAAGGGCTATTTCATACCACAGCACGTCATGACCAGTATTTAAACTGGGGGGGAGTTACCTGGAAGGGACTGATCGTTGATTGGATCAGGCTAGGCATCGGTCAGCAGGTGGTGAGCAATTGTATTGTGCATCACTTGGGTTTCCTGAATTTTATTCCTATTCCTTACTTTTTCCTATTATTATTATTATTACTATTATTATTATAATATTTTATGTCAATTATTAAATTGCTCTTATACCAGCCCGTGGGTTTTACCTTCTTCCAATTGTCTTCCCTATCCCTCTGGTGTGTGGGGTGGGGACGAGTGAGCGAGCGGCTGCATGGTGCTGAGTTACCAGCTAGATTTAATTCATGACACCACGACAGGAGGTCCAGGGACAGATCTGCCCAACTTGGAATTTCTGAATATAAATCCTGTAATATGTACTTACAGAGTTGAGGAATCACTTTCAAAACAAAATCAAGAGTCTTGCAGAGCAGCTGCCTGTATGTGAAACGGACCTTGCCGGAGAACACAGTTAAGATAAATATGTAAAATGGGTCAGAGTATCCAGGTTCAAGCAACATGGAACTCAGTGACATTGGAAGAAAAATATCCTTTTTCAAATAACAGGAGTTTTGCTCTTGAACATTATGGCATATATGACTATTCTTGTGAAAAGGCAAGGAAATACAGGATCCAACACTTCAGCAAATGAGTCCAAAATGGAACAGAATAGCCAAAATGAGAATATTCAATTTGAATATTAGATATAATGAAAGAAGGATATTTCAGACAGATTATTGTCTGGATGTTATTACAACCAGCAACCCGACTAAAACCCAAGAATGCTTCCATTTAATGCTAGATAATTGCTTTAAGAATAACATCCAAGTTGTTCTTTTTTGCGTGTAGCACAAGTGGCATTTTAGTGACTTCATCTAAGTTTAGATTTCTGGAAGTTAGACATCCACACCTGAGTTACTCTGCATTAGAAAAGCTGCCTCCAAAAGTTTAGTCATTTCAGCTACCTGAAATTCTTGTCATAAACTGATATGAATTATATTCTAGGGGTGTCCATTTCCTTGATACTAAAGGGAGCCTGAGCTAGCTCAGGTGTAGCCATCTAGCTTTTAAATGTCTGAGGCAATTAGTTGCTAAAGTGCTTAGAGCAAGAATGGATTCTTGTTCTTTGGCTGAGGGATTTCTGTCATTTTCAAAAGGAGAATAACTGCCAAACATTAATATAGAAAAAAATTATGGAGCAAAGTAATGAAGATGAACCCCTGAAGTTTTTGCTATTTAATTATGACAAACTGGTGTACATTTGAATGAGTGCAGCAATGTGACCTAAGAACTTCAGATTACATACCAGGAATTATATCTCCAATACAAGCAAAATACAGGTTTTTCTGCATTCTAGAGGCACACAATCAATTCAGTGGCAATGTTGGTCATTAAACATCTGCTTTTATCAGGAGTAAGGTTAAAAAGCACAGAGGACCACAGAAGCAGGAGTATATCAGAGAAATTTGTTCTGAATAGATGTCCTAGCATTCTGAGCGCAAGAAAAAAACATCCTATTTCTACCAAGATTAGGAATGAACAAAAATTGGGAAGGATTTTAAGAATACATCTGCAGAGGAAAATACAATGTTATTGGTAAATAGTAACAGCCCCTTTGTGCCAAACTAAATTGTAGCTCTTGAGATTATACAGCATAGAAGGAGGTCTAACTTTCAAATGAGGATAAGAACCAAACGAGACAAAGGAGGTAAGGCAAAGATTAGTATTGTCAGGGAAGCTCAAGACTTTAGAGATGAGTTTGTGCAGCTCAGAGTCACGGAAACTGAGCTAATTCTATTGTAGACACTGCAGCACTGTAATTTAAGAAAGAAACTCAGTGAGGAGATGTGGCAAAAGCTGGAGGTGCAGAGCGGGATAGACCTACTGCCTGTCATAGGATTTTTTCTGGAATGAATTGGAATTATTGTGATAGGCAAATTTTCTGTTTATCACATACAGAATCTAGGCAGGCCTCCTAGATTAGACACTCTGCTGGATGGATATTTCAGGAAGAAATATGGTATGGTGAAAGGAGAAGAATGGGAATTGGAAAATAAAATGCAAATGGCATCAGTGCTGGAACCTTTGGCAAAATAAATAGAATGACTGAGAGAAAGGAAATGTTTGGAGGCATAGATTGGGAAAGTGATGTATATTCTTAAGAGCTAGAAATCCAAACTTGTTGCATAAAGATAAAAGAAGAAGTGATCAGGAAACTTGAAGAAAGGCTGGGTGGTCTGAGTGGTGAGTAAAAAGGAAAAGCCCGTCAAGAAGTATAACCAGGTTTACAGAGAGAAGCTTTTGGGTTAGGAGGTATAAGATTGTTTAAGAAAACCACAGAGAAAACAAATTGTATTGACCCAAGGAAAGGACTTAGAGGTAATGAACAACTTCAAAATCAAGATTTTGAAAGTTTCAGTTTCAAAAAGTTCCCATTCAGTGAAGTAATTATCAACAACAGGTCACATAAACCCATTTTTAGCATACAATAAATAAAACTTACATGAAAAATATTGCAGCAAACATGAAAGAGGATGAGCAAAGAGATGTGCTGTATTTTGGAAGGTAGATCTGCGTTGCTAAAAGTACCTTACAACTTCTATGTAAAAAGTCACACCGTTTTCCATTGTATGATGTTTATTTTCTCAGTAATCATGCTAAGATACTGTTTCTTTTCCTGCAATTTCTGTCAATTATAAAATAGCTTTTACTTCTAGCTACTTTCCAAAATGATTTCAAGTGCTAATTATATAACAACTAAAACATTTGCTGCTTACACACAGAGCTGTTTGCCAAACCAATTTCCATATATAAAAGAAAAAAATAAAGATAACATGAACATAACAGTAAGTTATTCATTTATTCATTTGATGGATTTGGGTGGTGTTATCACCTCTAAATGAATATAATATGATATATATATTTAT